GTAATGGGCTTGCCATTGGCTTCAAGTGTGGTTTTCCACATCCTCATCGAGTTCGCAACGAAGGTCCTGATCACCTTTTACGACTCCAAGCATTCGGTGATCCATGTATGTGGCATCGAGTCATAGGCTTTCTTGTAATCAATCCAGGCTGTGCACAGGTTGGTATGTCGGGACCTGCAGTCTTGTGCGACTGTCCTGTCAACCAGGAGCTGATGTTTGGCTCCTCTGGTATCTCTACTAGTGATAAGATCTGTCCTAAAAAATCGAGCCCAACCCGACCGGGCCCGAGGGTATTCAAGCCCGACCCGGCCCGAGCCCGATCACTTAGCTTGATTTGCAGGCCCGAGCCCGAAGCAAACCCGACATTTCATATTTTATTTGTGAGTATTTTTGGTAGACATTCACATAAACACTCCCCCTACTGTATGCCTGCTGGCCGGGTGAGAAGCATGGTCCTAGTGTCCGCTACAATATTTATTTTAAAAAAAAGTCAGCGAGAGAGAAGCCCGACCCGACCCGAACCCGAACCAACAATTGACATTTTAGGGCCCGACCCAACGCGAATTTCGGGTCGGGTCGGGCTCAGGCGGCCCGATCTTACCTCTATTACACCCCCCCCTTAATAAATAGAATAATCATTTGGAAACTGGGCGGCCCGATGGTCAAGTGGTTAGCGCGTCGACCTCACAGAGCAGAGGTCGTCGGTTCGATCCCGGCTCCGGGCTTCCTGTGTTGAGTTTTGGTAGGATCGTTCGCCATCCTGGGTGAGTCCCATCCCTCAGTAACTGGTTCATTTGTGCTGCTAGACGCTCATGGAGTGCTGTGAGTTTCTTTAGCCAGTAGGTGTGGACCATCTCCGAGCCTGGTGCTGTCCAGTTTTTCATATCTGAGACTCTTTCCTGTATGTCTGCCACTATTATGATGCTGGGTTCTGTTCAGGGAGGTTGCTGTGCTCCTCTCTCAAAGTCACCAGCCATTGTGCACTGCTGTTATGTGCGACTTTCTTCTCCCATATGCCTTTCCAGTACCTTTCAGATTGCAGTCTTGGTGGGTCTGCTCTGCTGTTAGAACCCTGCCACTGAGCGTACACACACACACACACACACACACACCCACCCACACACACACACACACAACCAGACACACACACACACACACACACACACACACATATATATATTGCACTTACTGAAATACATTTCCAAATATTTTGCTTTCATGGCTCTCTTAGTCAAAAAGGTTCCCGACCTGGCCTAGACTGTACAGTGATACACACACACAGTTACGCTAAATGGAACACATCTATTGTGTTGATACTGAAAGAATGAAGCCGTATTGTTCCCAGACAATACTATGAAATATGTCTACCGAGAGAGATTCCATTTTCGATGTGAAAGATACAGTGCTGGCGGGGGGCTCTTATGATGGCACAAAATACACTTTGGAGAATGAGTGGATTTGGAAGTGCGGCACCCAGAGTGCTTGTTCACGAGTTACAAATGCATGGACAATGCTGGAATTAATTTGTCCTACAACCTTGCGAGCATGTTGAAGAGAGTGCTGCTTTGGTCTGGTGTCTCAGCAGGTTAATTTACGAGCAGACTCCACTCACATTGTGGACATAACAAACCAGAAGCCTGCGCCGAGGATGGTGAAGGTTTTGAGAGGGCGCACAGATCCTCCATCTGGCAGTTAAACTCATCTCCCACTCCCTTGCTCATTAAAAATGCTTGGCACAGCGACGGGTTTTCATGTCGCGGGCATGGTGGGTCCCATCTCTAACTGTAAATGACTCGTAGGACTGTGTGATGTGGCCAAAATTTCTTATCTCGATATTTTTCCCAGACATCTCTAACGATAACAATATTACTATGGGTTCAGTGAAAACTATGTAATTATCTTGAAGAAAAAACAAAATATTAATTCCAAAGGATGTGGAAAGTATGTATGTTTTTTTTTTCAACTTAATGACAGCCATCACCCTTCACAAAGTCAGTAATAAATTTAAAATAATGAATTTCACTTTGTACTGCAACTGCGATTTAATGACCAATAAGAATTTTATGCTCCAAAGGAAGGGTTTGTCACTTTTGCGTGCGTGTGTATGTTCACTCCATCAACTTGTGCGTTGCTCAGCACTTTGTACTTGCATGACCCTTGTACGGTATTTCATCCACTGGCACACGTGAAATGAGACAGCACGTGGCTGCGTAGCGCAACTCTCGCTAACACGGAAGTGCATTTGTCATGTGCGTGGCGTTCAGCAACTACAATCTATATTTGTGTTTGAAATTGTCCCACTGAAAATGTTTCGAGACACGAAAATACAATTTTATGCTATACACAGTATGAATTTAAGAAATGACAACAGTTGGCATTAGGAAGGAAAACAATTGTGACTTTGTTCAATTGCCATATTTTTGTTTAATAAAACCCTTGCCAGCATGCTGCAATGCAACATGTCTGTAGCACGAGTAACCACCATGCATGTCTGCCGAAGTTGAGGACTGCCAATAGGACCAACATGTGCAAGTGTACCCTTACTGATTGAGTGTTGTTTACCATCCCTTTGGGAGAGGTGATAATCGACTTTGTGGTACCAAATGGTGCACCCTTCCGGGTTGTATAAATGTCTGCTCTGCTATGCTATCAATACAAATAAGTCTCTTACATTGTATTTTGATGATTTTCTTTTTCAGCAATTCTCAAAAAATGAATGAAAATGATTTGGACTTGTGATCATTTGTGGGTGTAAGATTTTAAAAATGTCTCACATGTTTTATGATCGCAGTTTGAGACATGTACTTGAATTGGTGTTACATAATCACCATTCGTCTGGAGTCCCCCCACCTTGATATGTGCTTTTGCATTATGTCATTACGTTGTGGGCTATGTATATTGATCATAATTTGTTTCAAATAAACAATTTCATGATTACTATTTGTGTTTTCTTGACTGAAAAAAATAGTTGATATACTTTTAAATAATCAAAAACTGTCTGACATTCTGAAATGTTCCAGGACGGATTCCTTGAAAACGAAGATGTCATAAAGTCTCAATTTAAAAATTGTCATGTCCCCTTATATTCAAGTGAACCTCAAAAATGCCTCGATCAGTGATTTTTAACCGAGGTTTGATCGAATCGTCTCAGGGGTTCGACGGCGCCTCTGCCAGGGAGGTTAAGAAACACACCGACTCAACATGTCAATTTAGTTAGTTATGTTACGGCCGCTCGGCCATCACTGGCTGCAGATGATCACATTACATTGCTTGTCTAATCAGTGCTGCGGGAAATTTAGTTCGCTCAGCAGTCAACATGTGACTGTCGTCATAGTACGTCATGCACGGTTCATTTTGTGCACAATTAAAAAAACGTATACTTACGTCTTGAAATTTTAGGGTTTTTTTCTGGTTTTAATAAATGCGTTTTTTTATGTCTTGAACTTGTAAAAAAAATATTTTTTTAAATGTTCACTCATGAAGGGTTCGGTGAACATGCATTTGAACTGGTTGGTTTCAGTACAGTACCTCGAACAAGGTTAAGAACCACTGGCCTAGATACACACACCGATGCTGTTTGCGTCCATGTAAAAAAAACGCTTTTGCAGTGTTTTTGTGCTTGTCTTGAAAGTGTACCATCAAAATCAACACAAAAACACCGTAAAACCAACATACTGTATCGCGTGACAACCTATGTTGTCCTATGCTTTTTTTTTTGGTGGGTGGAGGTGGCGGGGGTCATTGAATAGCAGGGACATACTCTATTCCCTCAATATTTCTGTTGAGTATATGCGACGAAACTCCTACCACTGTGATATGCTGGTATGCTTAAAGATGTGACTCATCCAGGAAATCTCCACTGATAGTCCATTTAACCAAGAGATGACGTGGCTCCCACCCAACATGAACACTTCGTAATCATACAATGACAACACAGCCTATTTTTCAATGAGATTTTAGATTTTTCATTTCCCATCGCACGGCAAGTGACAACAATCCAACTTTAATGTGAAAATATTTATGGGAAAATAATCAAAATCCATAAACATCACCTAACTTACATTCAAGCCAGTCGGATGATAACATCCAAAGTAACAAATTCACAGAACCTTCCAACTGTTCTAAAATTAAACACTTCCATTCACAACCAACGCTATCACTGCACTTGCATTTTCATTTCTGTTTTATGAGCAGAGGCAAATATTGTTTTTTCTCTATCTACAGGACAGTTTCAAACTAAAAGAATCATACACAATACTATCGGTCCTTAGGTTCAGATGGATATTCGACAGAGTAAAGCAACACCTGTTAATACTGTAGGTGTCTATATATAAAACATCATGGTGAAAATGCACAAATACATATTTTGAATGCAAAAAAAAAAAAAAAATCAGTGTGTATAAGCTAGGCTAGGGGAATCAAATTTGATACACAATATGACAAGAATATCACTCATTTTGTCTAAAAATATTTTATACAAATACTGCTTCAAAATTCAAAAAGCACACAGTTGAGTAGGGAGATTCTGAATAACCAGTACAATCCCATTCATACATTCCGGGGCTCTTCACCCCAAAAACAAAACAAAAAATTAGGCAAGCTAGCAGCCATGTGAGTCAGTGTTGCAGGCATTTTTGTGTTATCATTGTTGAACGACGCTTTGGAGCCATAAGACTATGAACTAAACTCCTAGGTCTAATGTCGTCAATTCACTTGTCGCTGTGTCGTTAGAACCCGCGAGGTCGAACCCCTGAGACCGATTCACCGAACCCCTTGGGTTCGATCGAACCCTGGTTAAGAACCACTGCTCTGGAGCATTATTTTCTAAGGCAGAGGCTTTCATAAAGGCCTTATATTGGACGCCGTTAGATTAAGTAGGGGTACCTAATATAAAGGCGGCGGAGTTTAAAATTCATCCATTCATTTTCTACACCGTACTAGTGTCACAGGTGTCTGACAGCCAATCCAGCTGACTAAAGGCAATTGTGAAGGGAAAATGAAGCTTCAAATTTGCTTCATGAATCAGTTGGTGTTTAGATGTCGTCGATTCATTTGTCGCTGTGTCATTAGACCCCGAGAGGTCGACATTTCCATCAGCTTGTTTGTTGCTCGACATTCTTGGGGCAGGGGTTGTGGGGTGGAGACAAAAGCCCTGACGCAAACATGGCTAAAAACCTGCCACAAACACGAAACTAGTAAAAAAAAAAAAATCAGTGCGACGGAACAAATACTGGTAAACACGGATGCCTAAGTCAAACTAGGTGGTCTTACACAAGTTGGCATTCAGTAACAACAACAAAAAAAATCACATCATGAACGTTTTAAAAGCCAACGATGTGCACATTCCAGAAAGAGGCATGGATTGACTATTACTGGAGGTTATCATTTAAAATATGGCCTTAGCAACAGGAAAATAAACATCTCGATAAAATATGTCACCAATATAAATCAAATGTTTACTTGAATACAGCTATGCAGAGCCGACGAACTTAACCAAGAGTCCTTGGGAAAGGCGCTACTGGATATAAATTAAAGTTATTACTTTCTCTCCAAGCAACCATTTGGCGATTTTACCAGCAGTGATTGATGTGTAAAATGGTCCACAAAAGCAAAATAAATAATGTTGCCTGTCAAGATAATGGTTAAAGTTCAACTTCGGACTCTTTGAGCTGTTTGATACAGCATCCAATCATTGTTTTTCAGCATTACCCCCCTCGCCACTAAAAAAAAGAATAGCCATTTTTTGTAATGATGCTTTTTCTTTAAAGCCGGAGAAATACTTTTAGTATTAAAAAAATATTTTTGGCGTCCAATCTGTCTTACTTGTTTAATTTGTGATTTTAGTACAAGTAACTTCAAAATGGTATCAATTGTATGTAAACCAACATTGCCTGCAGCTTGGAGGGGTTAAAGCCCAACACGTTAGAGCTCTCCAATCTGTGCAGATGTAAAATGGCATTGTGTCTCGATTCATAGAACATAAATTAACACAATTTAGTTGGCAATAAGGACGCCACGTGGGAAAGTGCAAGTATTACAGCAATCTCTTTCCCATGCAACCTCACCTGACTTGGCTGTCGGAAAGGAGGAATTTAAAATACAGGGAAATAATTTGAAGTAGATTTAATCTGTGTATCATTTGTTATTTCCATTTTCGATTGGTTATTGATTTCTCAATACAAAAATTACATATGACTCAATTTTAGTCAAGTGTTGCATTACAAATACGACACTGAACTGACACCATTAGCTTGAGCTTCAGAATCTTCACTGACTATTTTGGACTATAAAAGTGATTTCAACCGCTTTTATACTCGCATCTTGGTGATGAAAAGCGACACTTGTGTCACACTCCACTTTAAAACATTTTTACATTCATAAAAGGAAATATTGAAGACCCTGAATTGAGTGGAGGTGGAATTCCTCCGCCACTGGCAAGAAGGCTGCCCGGCCATCGAGGACTGTCATGTCTCTCTCCAGTGGCCGTGAAAGCGTGCACATTGTTCGGTATTTGTAATGTGCTTGTGCTTACGTGCGTCAAATTGAATGTTTGAGATATCGGCTTATTTTTAACTAGCCTGCAGTGTACTGCCGTTCTTAGTCAACTTGGTGCGATCACATTACTTTGATCCCTTGAAGAAACACTGCCATGGGCAGGCCGGTGATCCAGTGGTTAGCGTGTCGACCTCACAGTGCAGAGGTCGGGGATTCGATCCTGGCTCCGGCCTTCCTGTGTGGAGTTTGCATGTTCTTCTCGGGCCTGCGTGGATTTTCTCCGGGTACTCCGGTTTCCTCCCACATTCCAAAAAGCATGGCAGGCTGATTGAACACTAAATTGTCCCCAGGTGTGACCGCCCATTTCAATTGGCAATTGTCAATGGAAAGAACCGATGAAACACAGATTACATGTGATGACAGAGTATTTGGAAAATCTGCTGGATGGGGGATGAGTCAAGCACGAGCGGTCGCTGCCCCGGGGGGCCTGGGTGAATCCTGAGGAGTGGGGCTCTCGGTCTCAGAGGCGCTCGAGTCGCCGTCGTCATCATCATCCGTCTGCTCTGAGCTGTGGTACAGCATGAGAGCTTGCGTCTTATGGGTGATGGTGATGGTGCACGGGCCTTGCGCCCACGGCTCGCCGTCCACTTGCATTGGCATCGTGGAGCTCTTAAGGACCAGCTGGAGAGGAAAACGTTACCAGCTTAACTCATTCTTTCACAAGAACGAATTAATTCATCCATTAGAAGCAAAACATTCAGTGCCAAGGTCGTGCTGCGTCGTTTTTTTCCATTCGGAGTGGTTGACTGATCAAGGTCTGATGCGCTTGCTTGCCCTTTAAACTGCATGTCTTATATTTATATTGCATTCTATACTGTGTACAATTCCTTTTCTGAAACATTTATTTATTTTGTGCATGCAACACTTTGTTTTATTCTTTTCTACCCCCCAACCCCAATTTTGCTGCTGTAGACTGCAAATTTCCCCAGTGTGGGACAAATAAATGTTATCTTATCTTATGCATTTGAGGAGTGGCAATTACCCAAACCACCAGGAGAGGGTAGTGGTTCACCATTTTAGATTAAGAATCCCCTCTGTTTGTTAACTGCTCGAAATAAGGGGAGTGGTGTTTTCCTGTTATTGCAACCAGGAGACAATCAGCAGTCTTGTAGTTGGACAATCTGAGGCATACGTTTCAAGAGAGAACATTCATCTATATCACTCAGTATGTGTGTAACATGAATGAAAAAAAAAAAATAGTACAACCGCCATCTTTGAAATATGAGGAGGTAATCTCATGAACAGCCTCGAATGGCTGATGAGCCATCCGAGTTGTATGATAATTTGTGCTTGTATTTGACTAAACAGATTATTTTGCATTCAAAAACCATTCCTAAATGTTAAATTAGCCGCTTTGTGCAATCAAAGCTCGGTCCAGACATTAGAAAAATATTGGCAAAAATATTAACATCCAAGTCAGTATTTTGCTTGATGTTTGTTAACACAAGAAGCAAATTTTTCTCCTGATTTTGGGCAAAGCGGGTGAATTTCCTGAAACTTACTGCTGTTCTACTGTTGATGAGAACAGAACGGAAAAAGGTTGAATCAAACTTTTTGGGAGTCAAAGAAAAGTCTATTCTTTCATTTGGTAGATTCGATGTAAAAATAATCATAGAACCCAATATTCAGTGGGTTTTGAAAGATCAGTCAAAATGCTCTAAAACTGCTGACCCTTTGGGTTGTGATTATTGCAAACGGCGGTCATTACATGAGTCAAGTGTTGCAAATACAGCAGGAGACGGGTTGTGATTATTGCAAACGGCGGTCATTAATTACATGAGTCAAGTGTTGCAAATACAGCAGGAGAATGGCACTAATGTGTGCAGTGTGGCCTCACCCTGACAGTGTGGGCCTGTCCCAGTCGTACTGGGTTGGCCAGCTTGACCTGGATTTGAGCACAGTGGAAGGAGCCAAACACACCCATCACCTCCAGCAGACCGTCATCCAACCTGCCACACAGACAGCAATCATTGCTTGTTACCACGGGACCTGAGAGCAGGTGAGCCAGAAGGCTAACCGGAGAGATTAGCTGTGACATATGCTGACGCTTATCTTACCGTGTGGGGGGGCAGGGCTCGTCGCCCATTCCCTCCCAGAGTCTGCAGCCACCCCCCCAGTAGCCAATGTTACAAACAATGATTCCTTCCAAGCTGGGCAACGCAACTCGCTCACCATCAAGCTCTAGCTGTGATGGGAACAAACACAATGTACATGAACAATATGTGCAAAACAATGTTAAGAAACATGCCTGTAGGGCCTTTCAGACCAATGAATGACTTCAGACTTGTTTTTGTAGTTTATAGTGTAGAACTGTGCCGTGCCTTACTGAGAGGAGTTTCTGATATTTTGCCTCTCTCGTGCCAATGTGGGAGTCAAAACATTCCCAGCACCACTGCAAACTACGACCACAGTGATAAACACACTGAGGAATTCATAACTCTGTGTCATTATTTTCAAAGGCAGAGGCTTTCATAAAGGCCTTATATTGGACCCCGTTAGACTGAGCAGTGGGACCTAATATATAGGCGGCGGAGTTTAAAATTCATCCATCCATCCATCCATTTTTTACACCATACTAGTGTCACAGGTGTCTGACAGCCAATCCAGCTGACTAAAGGTGATCGTGAAGGCAAAATGAAGCTTCAAATTTGCTTCATGAATCAGTTGGTGTTTAGATGGCCCTGTTGGTTTAAATAAATGGTTTTAAGAAATGGTTAGTGTATGTGCAGCCCCATGTTGAAGTGCCAGAGGAATTAAAAAAAAAAAAAGGTTCATGAAGCAAATTTGAAGCTTCATTTTCCCATCACTAGTACACCCTAGACCAGGGACCACCAACGTGGTAGCCCCCAAGGACCATATACATCCACATGCCTCCTCCATAAATAGCTCAGCAGCGATAGGACTTTGTGATTTTCTCAGAATGTTATCAAAGTGACTATTTGAAGATGCGTACACTGGCAAAGATTTATAGAATTAAATGGTGCAAACAGATATTCATCCATTTTTTTTGTAATTGTTAGAAATCGTTAACATGATCAGTGCCTTCACAGAAGTGAATATCGTTAATAACATGATTAAAGGCAGTTTGAGCAAACTTGTTTAGAAGCGTGTATTAATCAGGCAACTAGGGCTGACACGAATATTTATAGAATTGATTATTCCATTAAATTTAAACCAATCCACTTTATTTCATTTCGATCAATCAAAGGCTATTCTAATATGACTGCACATATTGATTATTTTGAACTGACAGTATTTTTAAAATATGATTGCGTTACTGCTTTGGTGAATCACATTTCAGATTACAGGGAAACCTGTTGATCACTGTTTTCCAAAGCAATAGCAAATGTTTGTGAATGTCTTCTTTTCATCAAAAAGAAAAACGGCATAGTCTTCTTTCATGGAGGACAACAGAAATCAGAGAATATTGACTTTTGTGAGGCCGAAGTCAGAAAATAGCAACAATGTTAAGGGAAACAATGCCTGAGTCTCAATGATGAATCTGTCATCAAAATTACTTTGACGATTATGTTGATGATCGATTAAACGATTAATTCCGATATATCTACCAGTGGCCCTTCGCACTAATTACAAGCCAAGAAGTAGCTCCCACTTCATTTTAAAAAAAGTTGGTGACCGGTTGCCAGTCTATTGCAGAGCATACAGAGATACTGTAACTAAGCATTCACATGTGCCAACAGATCATTCAAGCAATGACGCGTTCACTTTGTGGGTTAAAAACAGCAACATCTTTTTTGGTGCAGTAAACATGACGTTTGAAATCGTGAGCAAAGCCGCTGTACCTCAATCCTCTTATCCAGATCTTTACATTCCTGCACCAAACAGTCCTTTGTGCCATACAAGAAATACACAGCCTGATTGGTGAAAGAAAGACAAAAGACACGATGGTTAGCGGTGGTGCAGTCATGATGCAAAAAACATTACCAGGTTTTGCTTATGACTGGCGGAATGCAAATGAAGCTGCTCTGACCTTGTTGATGATACGACTGGAAAAGAAAGAGGGTGTCTTTTCACGATGTGTGTGGAAGTTGAGCGCCATCAGAGCGTCGGGACCCACAGAGAAGTAGTTGTTCATGGAAAGAACCTGAGGGAAGTATGAGGGCTGTTAAATGCGCACTCCAGTTTGTTGTAATAAGGTCACTGGATATTATTTCTGGATATATTCTGGATACACAGATGACGTGACATCAGGAGCCAAATGAGTTTGACTAAATAATGCGCTTTCGGACTGACCCAGTAACAATCTTCCGAACACTCAACAGTCACTTGATCTGAACCTTGCCACTCCTTCTATGTATGCCGTGTTAAAAACAAATACATAGCATAATTTGTCAGTCCCATTTGAAGGAATGAATTATGTTGGAGTCTTTTTTGCCTTTACAAAAGTTGCCTCGAACATTGCAAATGATGTGCAAAATTTCTGCCAAACCATGTTATGATAGTCCAACGACAGTTTTGAAAGACGTGGTGGTCACCATCTTGCGAGCACCTGATTTTAGGATGATGAAATATCAAGCTTGTGTCATTTTTCAATTATGAATTTAAAAAATAAGAAAAAGCTTTTGACAGAACAACAACAAAAATGTATTAGCTTGTTGTTCTAGTTTTGGCCAAAGTTGACTGTACGAGTAGTTACACAAGAAAACATGTGTTGGATTCTTTGACGGACTCATGGTGTGATGAACCCCAACAGGAACAGAAATAATGATCTCTATTTACAACTACAAACACGAAAACAATTGAACAGTTGTCTCAACATGTTCAAACAATAATATCATCCAAGCAGCAAGTATCATCCACCGTATAAAAGCTGTTTGGAATAACGGTATGAAGACTAGGGGTCACCAACCCGGCACCCGTGGGCATCAGGGAGCCCAACAACAACCACATGAGCAGCCTATGGGCCTTTTCCCAAAAATAGCTCACCAGCGATGGGAGATGAGGACTTTCTAGGAATGATTTAGAAGTGATCTTTTAAATATCTTCACACTTCAGAGAGTCATGAAAAGAAAAAAAGGTGTTTCAGTGTTGTGAGAAATAAACTGTTCGGTGTCTTTACATGGATGAGTATTCATTACTAACAACATAAAGGTAATTCAAGCACATTAATTTTTACAGAGGTGTGTATTGAATTAGTATCCCTTTGCATTAAACAGTACCCTTGAAGGACCCTTGAGTTTCAAGAATTTAGGGATGACGTAAGCACGGTCAATATAACGATGACCGAGTGACGATTCACGATGACAGTTTTGGTTCGGCTTGAAACAATGACGGACCGACGGCGGTTTGGCCGGCCGCTGGCGAACGACGAACCGGCAACATTTACAAACCTGCATACCTCTGCAGATTTTGACTCGCTTGTTTCTCTTTATGGGTTTATAGAAACACCTCAGTCTATGTGCACCATATAAGGTCTATTTATGTAGGCTTTGATTTGGGGGGGTATTGATTAAACCAGTTGGAAAATGACCTTTGTTCGGCCTAGGTCTCTAGTTTTCATGACAAAAATCTCAGAGCTAACAAAAATATAAAAAGTAGGCATACTGTACTGAAATTATGATCGTGTCTGCTCTCAGTTTAGTTACAAGTGCACTTAACTCTGTGTGAAATCTGGGATTGTTTATTGAACACAAAGCTGATATACTGTATTGGCAGGGATGAAAAAGACGACGACTAGAAAGATCTTATTTTACTCTGTCACAGCGGGGCTATTTTCCAGTGAGTAAATTTGGGGGGAGCTGACTTGCTCTGGTCCATAAAAGGGCGTTTCATTTGTCAGAAGAAAAATACAGAAACACACAGGCAATCGATTCCAATACATTTCCCACTTACCTTTGGTTTTCGAATAGAGAGGCCTTTAGAAGACACTTGCACTTTCCATCTGAAAATGATGATCTAGTCAGTCAACGCGCAAAGTTGAAAACAATGCCAAAATGGAGCTAGGGCAGATTTATTGTTTAGGATGCGAGAATCTTGCCATAGCTGCAGTACATTCTTTGTTTAGGATTAAGATTATATAGGATTATTGTATAAATCCCAATAGAAATGAAGACCCGCTATAGTGTTGTGTCAAAAAACTTTCTCACTATTCAGCTTGTTTTTACCGTGGTTAAGGTCAGCCCGATCACTCAACACATTTCAGGCAAAAAGAGCAAAGCATGTCTCATTTATGACAGAAGTCGTTATGCAAAGTGTTTCGGAAATAAACCAGCCTTCATCACAGGTTCGGGTCGCAATTTCGCGATTGCTTTTTTTTTTGTTCCGTTTTAACTATGAATGTTTTTTTCTTGTTTGGGATGCAACTTTTGGTCACTAGTTGGCGGTTGCGTTCAATTGTGTACATTTGAAAGATGAAGAGAAAGCAGGAAGCGCTTCAAGTTCAGCCTCATTATTGCTCAAGAGAGTCAAAAGATAGTGAACATCTCAATCCTCTATCATCTTGTGTTTTAAGACTACAGAAAACAAGGGCTGGAGGTTCTGTCAACGCAAAGCTGACGAATCTTATTTATGAAACAAGTGATGAAGTGACTTTGGTCATTATCCAGAAAACATTTGGAAAATGTCACGATCAACTCGTCAATTCAACTCTCATATGCCTTTTTTGTTTTTATTAATGTAATGGTCAAAACAAATCTACCTTTAGCTGTACCAAGCTTTTACAATGATCATTAAACAGAAGAAAAAAGGAGCAGTGTCAATTTTTTCCGCGGCTGTATATCAGAGATTTCACTTATTCTGGGGGTGGTCTGGATCCTGATTCAACATCAAAAATGATTTTTGATGTTTCTGAATGATCATAGCCCGAGCAGCTGCATTTTAAGGAATTGCAATTTTTAGGTCATCACATTTTGTTGGAGTCGGAGACTACACATTATACAGTTTGTGCAACATCTGACAATAGCAAGACTTGACAAAGTATCTGCTGGTAATATGTTCTTAAGACCCCACCTGTCCATTTTGACCACCCCAGCATCCAGGATGTTGCGGAGAACCTGTTCCACGGGGATCTCCCCAGCATAGCCTGCACCCCAGCCCAAAGTGTTGGAAAGGTCATTTCCTGTTCCGAGAGGGAGGATGGTCACTCTTGGAATGAATTGGTCTTGACCCTGGCCAAGAGATAGCAAGTATTCAGCCAAACACCACCAAGGGGGAGGTGTGGAAGAAAAAAAAATGGCTCCCCATCAATATTAGACTTGAAGGCCCCAGGAGGGGAAAATTTCAGTAGACTGAAAAGAAGGATTGACATCATGATGCATTTCATTTTGAGATCAGCAACTTGCTAAAAACAATGCTAAGAATGGACAACGTGCGCTCTCTCTGTCACCTTCAGCTTCATACTGTCAATGGCATCAAGCACCCATCCCACTGTGCCATCACCTCCGCACACCAGCACCCTGACACAGCCAGGGGGGAGCAGGGTGCAGAGCTGAAGGGCCTTGGCAGGTGCAAGCTGAGACAGGTCAAAAACCTGAGAAGGAGAAGAGACCACTTGAACACACAGTGGGTCCAACATACGGCATTTGTCACATACTGTGTATAAATATATATGGACTCGCGGCTTGGAATTGAAGCGGATTTACATGGGACAGGAGAAGAGAGCCACTCTCTCTTTTTCGTTAATGGATGCTACAGCTTCTTGTTGCTTTCAAGCTTAGCTTGTAGCAGACGTGTGCACATTCCAGCATGACGTCTTTGATCCACTGGTGCAAAGGACACTTTGATTGGCTCCTCTTTCATCTATTACTGATTCAAACAACAAAGTGAACGGAGCAAAAGTGGTTAAGATGGCACGACTGTCTGTTTTATGTGCTCTGTTGTATTATTTTGTCATTTTATGTTAAGTGTTCTTTTGATGGCGGCGTGGGCACCCGCAGCGGCTCCTCTTGTTGTCTGTTTAAGAGGGAGGAAATGTCATCTGTGCTGTGGACATTTGACAATAAAGTTGTACTTGATACTTGACTTGATAAACAGGGTGTACGCTCCCCGTTCGCCACCTCGTCATTGGCGGGGTAAATATTTCCCACCCATGACGAGCCGCAAATTTGTCAAAATTACACTGGGTGAGCCTGGCTGCCAAGCGTAATTGTGTTTGTGGAAAAAAAAAAAACACTCGCACGTACTTATGAAAATTGGATTCAGTAATCCTACAATCCTCCATTCGGTCAGTGACACAAATGATTAGTTACAAGTATAATCACAACCTCACTGGTCAAGCCAAAGACGCTTTGTTCACATCTGCCAGCATAAATCCATCCTTTTAATAAATCCCCTTCCCCATAAATTCATGTGACTTCTTCAAGAGCTCGTCGCTACGCAAGAGAAGCCAATCAAAAACACATGGCAGAAGCACTGAAATCAGCGCCAACCAGCTTGAAGGCATTTGTCTGGAGGTTTTGGGGGTGTTGAACAACGCAAAGACAGCAGTGAACTGAAACTTTGTGAGAGAGTCACGGGAATGTGAATGTCAAGAGTTTACTGTGTATTTTTGCCACTTTATTTACACAGCCTGCCCTGTGGCTGAAATTCCTTCCATCCACCCCTTATCTGAACTGCTTTATCTGATTAATTTAAATGATTATGTACTATTTTGATCAGGGGCCTCCGGCACGGTGGTCAACTGGTTAGCACGCCTGCCTCACAGTCGAGAGGTCCAGGGTTCGATTCTGGGCTTCGGACTCCCTGTGTCGAGTTTGCATGTTCTCTCTGTGCCCGCATGGGTTTCTCCGGGTCCTCCGATTTCCTCCCACATTCCAAAAACAGGCATGACGGGTTAATTGAATATTCTAGATTATCACTAGATGTGATTGTGAGTGTGAATGGTTGTCGTTTGTCTATGTGTGCCCTGCGATTGGCTGGCAACCAGTTCAGGGTGTGCCCCACATCCTGCCTGAAGGCAGCTGGGATACGCTCCAACGCATCTGTGACCCTTGTGAGGATAAGCAGTTCGGATAATGGATAAATGGATATTTTGATCGTGTGATGTTCATTAAAACTACAGTGCACTGGGTTCAATTCTTCGTGCAAATATTCATATTTTTACTAATGCACCAAGTGCAAGAAATTTCTATTTTTGCAGCATGGCTTCTCCTAAGAATCTCATCGATATGAAAGTTAAATTAGCACTGCGTGAAAATCCTGAATCGAAAATCAATCAAAGTGAATCGAATTGGGCCCTTGCGAATGGAATCAAATCGATTTTGGAAATCGATACCCAGCCGTAACCCTCTGTTGTTGGATGCCTTGAGAATAAGTTTTCCACCCCAAGAATCAGAAATGTTAAACATGTCCAATATTGGCCATCGCAAATACTCATGTATGATCAGCACCAAGGAGAAAGTGGAAGACAAGCTGCTCCCCCAAACTGTATGGACAGTGGGGCTGTTTTAAGTTGAGTTTTAAGTGTCATCACGATTTTGGCTGCCACGATTAACCTGAACTTAATCATCGACAACATTTACATTTAAAATGTAAGCTCTGCTGCATATCTAATGAAGCACCTTCTCAACCAGAGGGCAGCTAACCACCAGGGTGCGAATCATGGTGAAGTCTTCGTTAAGCTGCCTAAATAACGAGCAAGCACACCAAGCAGCAGGTGCATTTGTACAAGTTAAATTCTTGGCTTATTATTCAACATTTACTCTCAAGAGTTTGGGAATTTTCATTTTGCACTGAAAACAGTTTCCTGGTGCTTGTTGAGAAGTAGTCCAAAAATGATTTCCTTAACATTTGGAGCAGTGGTTCTTAACCTGGGTTCGATCGAACCCCGGGGGTTCGGTGAGTCGGTCTCAGAGGTTCGACGGAGCCCCTGCCATGGAGGGTAAGAAACACGCGACGCAACATGTCAATTTAGTTACTGTAGTTATATTATGCCCGCTTGGCCATCACTGGCTGCAGATGATCACATGACATTGCTTGTCCAATCAGTGGTGTGGGAAATTTAGTTCGCTCTGTAGTCAACATGTGACTGTCGTGATAGTACGTCGTTCAATTAAAAAAAAAAAAAAAGTATACTTATCCCTTGAAATTGTATGAACTTTTTTTTCTGTTTTTAATAAATGTTTTTTGTTTTGTTTTTTTTAATATATTGACTTTGTAAAAAATATATACATTTATGTTTCACTCATGAAGGGTTCAGTGGATGTGCATATTAACTGGTTGGGTTCGGTACCTTTAAAAAGGTTAAGAACCACTGATTTGGAGTAATTGTGGTTATGAAATTGAGCAAAAATAATCATGATGATTATTTTGGCCATAATCGTGCAGCTCGAAAGGAGAGTGTGGTTGACTCATTCAGTGTCATCTATTTTCAGAACTTCTTTACGCGCCAACGTGAAAAAAAACCCAAAAAACATATACATAAAGACGTACACTTGGGATTGAATTCCTGGATTCTTAAAAAAACATGACAAAGATCCTTGATATTGAATGATTTATTATCTGCTGACTGACCTGCACGGGGTTGAGGAGGCTGCGAAACTCTCCCAGCAAAGCCTCCCCCATGTTGTTTCCACTACGCGTGTTGGCCAAAACCAGTATAGGAGTCCAGCCATCCCCACAGTCCATCGCAAGCTAGAAACAAAATATGATCATGACCCCAGTGTGGCTTTAACAAAAAAAAAAAAAAAAAAAAAAAAAAGCAAACTTTGGAGCATCATGTGAGAGGAGATGCTTGTACTGCTGCTGCATGTGTTCACAACACACCCACCTTTTTGTACTCATCAGCGTGTCTACGGCGGAGCTTGTTGACTTGGTAAAGATAGTGAGGAGGAATGATGAGATTGTGGAACTCGCCCAGGTTACACTGGGTTGCATCCAATAGGCTGTCCATGCACTCATCATGCACTGTGGTCTGACACCACACACATCTAGAAATGGCCAAAACAATATACAGTAAATATTCCCATCCCCGGAATTCTATGAAAAGGAATTTCCTTCACCCAGAACAAAAACTCGTGCATTAACATTTTGACTACGATATTACATGTTACCGGAACTTACGTAGCGGAAACTCCACTACCCGTAACCCGGATTGAGACGTCATGCCGCGGGAGCTTAAATACAAGCAACGCCCACCCGATGCTACGGAACGACGACACTGAGACACATTTTCACTTCGCGTTTTTCGATCATCAGATTCGAAACGACGACGTGTGAGTGAGTTTTTACTTGCGTGCGTTTTGCTGTAATTGTGAATGATTTTAACTTTATTCACTTAACGTCCTGTAGAACACGGCACTAGCTTAAAAGCAGCACCCACTCGAGACGACCGAACAGACGTGTTCGCTTCACCGTTTACATTCATCAGATTCGAAACGAAGACGTGTAAGTGACTTTTTATTGGCGGGCGTTTGACTGCAATTGCGAAAGATTTTAACGTTATTCACTTACGTCGTGTAGATCATGCCATTGAAACGTAGAAGAACTGTAATGACTGGAGCGGAGCGAGTGAAATGCATCTACGAAATCTACGAAACTTAAAAAACAAGGCATCAATTCAACTCCTGATGACAAGCCACTATCCAGCGAGGAAGCAATGCAAATGGCAAAAAATCCATCAGTATGCACAAGAATTACCAGACATCGGTGATCAACGGGACAGTTACTTGCAACTAGCAAGAAAACTGTATGACACGCAGGCAAACATTGTCATAAACCAAAGAATGCATCCAACCAAACAATCCAAAATAGACACATTTTTTTCCCAAGACAGAAAAAAAATAAACATTAAAATACTGTACGTATTTTACTGTTGTGATTTTTTTGGATACACCTGTATTGCAGTTTTTGTTATATAAACAGTTTTTGGACAGTATATTTTTGTATTTTATTGATTGTGTTGTTACACGTGCATTTTGTCAACATACTTGCAGGTTCATAAAGGACATGTACCATGCTCATTTCCCAAATGGCGCAAACACGAGTCCGCACTAGAGAATATTTACTGTATACAGATATGTTTAAGAATATAGAGCAGCAAGTTCATGCATCCTTGCTGAATGAGTTAAGCTGAGGCCAGCTTTATTGTTTTTACATCATCTTGAGTTTGGACGTGAATAGAAGTTTGCATGCCTGTTTAAATCAAATTTATTCAAACTAGCGTCAGTTTATAGTCATAAATGAACATTAAAAGTCAAGAAAATTTGATTTTTCCAAATCATGCAGTGCCGCACCTCTGAGCACACAATGCCGGAGTGGAGCATACTGTACCTGAGATCACAGAGCTTCGGCTGCGTTCCACACTGTTGCTTGCACACAACACAGTAGCTGGCCAGGGGCACGTTGCCCCTGACCCACCGGTGGAACACGACCCCGTCCGCCCGGGAGGGTGCCATAATCTCCTTGCACGACAGCTCCCGATCCGCCCGACGCAAACACTGCTCGTCAGCGCACACGCCGCAGCCATCACAGAAGGCCCCCTGCAAGATGTGCTGGGAACACACGCAGCAGTAGGTGGGCTTACTGAACAAGTCCGTGTAGTGCCAGCCATGTCTGCTCTGGCGGAAGAACTGCTTCATGTGCGTTTTCCGCTTGGAGCGTTGGATGCTGCACCACAGCGTGATGACGACTGGGACGATCACGGCCGCGAAGGTCCAGACCAGCAGTGACCACGCCTCCTCCGTGGACATGGCGGTGGGACTGGAAGTCAGTGGCGCCAAGGAACGGGAAAAGGCCAAATCGGAGAAAGCAGGGTGTTCGGGAAACAACGGCCGGGCCGAGTGAAGGCGTCGCGGGTCTTCCCGTTGACGTTCATGTTGAAGTGTAGCGGCGTGAGGCTGGAACTGTGGAGCGCTTCGCCGCAAACATTTCAACGGCCACAATTCGCGGAAGTACACATGACGTATCTCCGACGAACTTGGTCGTCACTGGGACAAAGAGTGTAGAGGCAGCAAGATAGTCACCTCGCTCAATGCCGATGGAAAGCCGTTAGGCGTTGAAACTGTATTATATTTACAACAAATCAAGCGAGGCAAACCTTCACTATTTGCCAGATCTCTGCTACTAGTACCACTATCCGCCTATAAAAGACACCGAATAGATGCCAAGCCTTTTCAGAGTTTTTTTTCCCGATATTCTTGACATCAGTGGTGTCTAGAAAGTACAACTTTGATGCACCTGCGGTTGAGTAGAAGCACGCGTGGCTAAAGCCAAACTGTGACGGGGTTTTCTTTCAGAATCTGGATTTGAGACATCTACTTGGTATTCAAGCTTTAAGTACATGTACTAGTGCGCTCTTTCCACTCCCTAGAAAATTCTGTGCACTAGTTGAGGGACAACGGTCTTACTAGGAACGTTCTTCCCCATTACGTACTTCCTCCATTACTTGGTGACGTTTATTCCTACTTGTAGGAAACAATCTAGTGAGGCAAAGCGTGTGACGGTCATTTCGATACAAATGTGTGGTGCTCGGCTGATAGTGTTACTAGTGTAGCAGTTTACTTTTAATATTTTGTAGGCCGAGTGTCATTTGTAGTGGAAAAAAATATTGTACCTACACAGCCAAATTACATGAACCTTAAAATGCCATTCATGGGTATCCAATAAATGCTGCTGCTGCTTTGCAAAGATGCTCATTAATGTAGCAAAAAAAAACACCTTCTGTGTTTTGTTTGCTATGCGAAGAATACATTGGTTTTATAAAAGTATGTATCCAGTTGTTCTGGTTTGCTAAACACAAAACTGAAAATGTAACAGACCTATACAGTATTGCAAACCATCAATTTGTCAGCATTGTGGTTGGTGTTGGCTCATTACGTTTGGTGACTTTCCACATAATGTCTTCTACCCAGCTCCCAGATGGGCCTAAACCCAACTACTCTATAATAGGCCAGCATGTAAAACAAATAGGAAATACGATAGGTGATTTGAATATACGTACTGACGACGGCTAACTAGAAGGCACACGTTGCATGATGTAGTACTGGACGTCATTGGATGAAATGAATAGATACCGCTTTGGACGCTGACTTGTGAGTCGACGTTGCATCCATATCGAATGTGGCAAATTGTATCATTTTAAAGTAAAGACGGCGCTCACTGGAATTTGCTCAATTTAAGGCGATTTAGAGAAACATGAATCAAAAAGTAATAACGCTGAAGGTTACAGAATGGACAACGTATGATAATCCTCAAGAAAGCATTGTGTTGTGCTTGCTTTTAAAACAGGAGGCATTAACTTGTGCGCTTGATAAGTCACTTGATGACATATCATCCATTGACGTATTACTTGTCATTGTAATTTTAAAAAAATTAAGTAGTTTAAGAAAAAAGAAAAATGACTTAAATGCAGATTTGCCACATCCAACATGGCGATCACACTGAATTATAGCAGCAACCAGCCAATTCACTCAATAAATTATCTATGTACACAATAGGATGCATGTCTGCTGTTACAAAGTAGGGCGGAAAAAACCTTTCAGTGTCTCAGAAATTGACGCCATGCCCAAAAATACAATTTAGTATACGGTACACTCATGTAATAAGCGTCAGAAAGCAACAGAATCCACAGTAATGTCACTAGTTCAAACGAAATGAGATAAATACAATGTTGAGGTTTTTAAACATTCGAAACCATTTTGAGCCTACGTTAAAAAAAAGTATTGTAAATGGTAAACATTACACCCATACAGTCGTTTACAAGAGAAAGGGCGAACGCTCGTGTTCGCAGCTTGGTTGAATTGATATCTACACTGCCATCTAGTGGATTAAGAACCACAGTCAACAAACACCATATATTTCATCTGTTGTTTACGACTGAGCCGTTGTCTTCTTTTTTTTTCGCAATACAGTATTTGAATCCTCGAGTGTTGTATTATTCATATTTATATCGAAAATGTTTTGTTAATAGTGTGACTGAATTATGTTGTATGTCAGTAATACGAGCGCCGATTATATGTTCTGTGGGTGGCACAGGAGAGTAGGAGGAGATTTTACCCCTACTCTCCTTTTGGATTTCAGTCGAGACCCCAGAGCAAATAAAGTTTGGGCTGGAAAACAGTGTTGAAGATGAAGAAACTGGTGGTGTTTCTACTTTGCCTGGTCATTTTGACCATCCACACAGGTAGGAACCGCCAGAGAATTCCACTCGAAGACTGAAATTGTATAACGTTGTGTGTGAAATTACGTGGGTGAAACATAGTTATTAATATGCGTTTATCCTAAAAACGGTAATAATCATCCATTGCATGGGATTGTCAAAACATTTAAAACTTGCGTTATTGTGGATTATTATGTAGCTCCTTCTTAAATTCACACTTTGTTATATTGCTGTCTTTAAAACTCTACTTTATTGGAACTGCACTACAATACATGCCAAATTAATTCATATTTGTAGCACAAAGTGCAATATGAATACAACTATGAAAGACCGGTCTGTTTTCCCTCATTTTGCCGAAAAGCACGTATCTGTCTTCACAGGTAGGAAGCGTTTTGCCACGTTGCTACGAGAGCAGCAGCCACAGATCTGACTCTGTTTTGACACACAGAGAGCTGCGTTCATTTTCACAGCAACTGAGAGAAAACGAGTCGGCCCAGCCGGATGGTGCTGCACGGGCCTGACTCCCTGGGGAGTGAAGAGAATGAATGGGCACTTTGTTATCTTTCGGCAAATAGCCGCTTCCCAAAAGGAGCCTGGTTAGAGAGAGCGAGAGTTGTGGGGCGCGCAGGAGGAGGGGGGTGGGGGGTGTTGTAGGGGTGTGTGTGTGTGTCAGTGATGTGTTATGTTAGCTACAAACAGAAGCTCCCTTGGGACAGAAGCTGGGGAGGCTTGTAAACACCGTAAAACAGTCAGTAGTAGTCCCATTTTTCTTTATTGAAAAAATAGTAGCCCACATTTGGTTTTGCAAGAGGTTTTAAATATTGCGTGCGTGTGTGTGTGTGTGTGGGGGGGGGGGGGGGTTACTATTGTCAAACCAGTGCGTAAAGATTTTATTTTATTGTGCTTCTTCTCCTTAGATGCCAACCCCATAATCAAGGAAAGCTTTGCTAAGCAGCTTCTGCGAAGCAAGAGACAAGAGAGGCCAAGGACACCAGGCCACCCCGATGAGCCCATGAGAGTGAGCGTGATTAAGAGCACATACACGAGCTGATGTTCTTGAGTTTAATGACTTTCGCTTCCAATATGCTCTCCAAACCTTTACTGTTTGTCCAGAAGCACCGTTTGCATCTCTCGAATCGTATCGACGAGGCGTATATGCAAATACATTTTCTGGAAAGTCTATGTATTTAGGAGTAATAAACACTTATGCATTTTTTCATTCGCTAAGGTCCAAAACTATTTGGACAGTGACAGTCATTTTTCTTTGACACGTCAGCACAATTAATTTGAAATCATACATTATCATCGAGGTCACGGTGGTCGACTGGTTAGCACGTCCGCTTTACAGTGCGGGGATTTTCTCCGGATACTCCGGTTTCCTCTCACATTCCAAAAACATGCATGGCAGGTTAATGGAACACTCTGTCTAAATTGTCCCGAGGTGTGATGCGCGAATAGTTTGTCTCTGTGTGCCCTGCGATTGACTGGCAACCAATTCAGGCTCCCCCACCCACAGCCCGAAGTAGCTGGGATAGGCTGCAGCAGATTTAATATAAAAAAATAAAAATAAAAAAAAAAGTTTTTTTTTTTTGGTTTTGTCCTTAATCTCTGAATTCCGCAATTTTCAGGTCGTCAAAAATATTTTAACTAAATGACTTAACTGTCAGCACAAATTGTAATACTGTACTTGAACCGAAATCCTTTGCAGCTAATGGGTTATTGAAACGTGCGCTCGTGTACACGCACGCATACGCACACGAATCCGAGTATTCTTGTGCCGGGATTAAACGGCCATCATTCATTTAATTTTTTTTGTCTGCAGTGAAGAGTAGCCGAGCTCTCCATTTGGCTAAACTGAGACATTTATCATGTTTTGGCATTCAAAGAATCTCGAGCTTTTCTTCAAAGAGAACTGCAGTGGGCGTGCTTCGTGACTGTAAATCATTGAGGAAAATTTTTATCAAAGCCATACAAATGAGGGCTAGTATGTGACTTTGTCGAAATATTTTTTCAACTCCTGAAAATGAAGGAATCTTACCCGATCTAATCTGTTCTATATTAACATTACCTTGTGTGTTTAAACTGATTCAAGCCGAACCAGCAATAACATTTGTACGGAAGAGGATTAGGGCCAATGAAGAAAAAAAAATCTCGAAATTCTGACTTTAAAGTAAGAATCTTGCCAACCTTGTTTTTTTTTCTTCATTAGCCCTAATGACTTTAAAGTCAGAATTCTGAGATTAAAGTGAGAATTTTGCCAACCTTGTTTTTTGTTTTTTCTTCATTGGACCTAATCCTTTTCCGTACTTGGGGAGCAAATTCAATCGTTTTTTTTTTTTTGTATTTACTCATTTTTACTTTTGATCAGAATGTTTTCTCACCGCCAAATGAAAGGCGACATGTTCACCTTTTTGTTTCACTGTGATCTTCCCCCATATTTTCTTCTTTTTTGTTGCCGTCACTATCATTGCTGCTATTAAACGCCACATACGTGCTACTCATCCATTTTGTGATAATCAATTTGCTTCACTTGTCTTTGCCATATTTGTCTCGATCAGGAGCACATGCTTCACATGCAGGCTCTGGACCAGAGAGCGCAGGAGACCAACATGGAGCATTGGCTCAACCCTCACTGCTACCCACGCTGTGACAGGAACTATGGATACCCTGTCTGATGATGTGCACGAAGGTCGCCAAGAGTCTGCACCCCGAAGTCATACAACCCATATACACAAACGAAAAAGAAACAACAAAAACATGCAATGAAGGAGTCTATACATTTTAATTCAACTAACAGGATTACAATGTGACAAGAAAAAAATGTTGAAGAGGGCTCCCTCTTGGGTTTTTCCAATGAATAAAGTTTCCCTAATGGTAGTTTATAATGAAATACAAAATGTCAGTTCTCTTTTTTGATGAGTCATCGCTTCTTAAAATGTTTGTGAAGGGAAGCGAAACTTCAAAAACATTTAGATGTATTTTTGAGTCATGTGAAATTTTGTTCATCGAGTTAAAATAACCCACAGAGGGAAACACATCTGCCACAAGGCCCGTGGCCATGCATGCACTCACGGGGAATGAGGGGTTCTGAGAAATAATTCCTTATTTTTTCATGCTGCATTCCCGAAAGGTAAATACACATCTGCCTAAAGCAAAATGATTTTGATTATTTGAGAATGCTGTCATGATAAATCATGAATGAGGGGATGCCTCACCAATGGGGGTGCGTGTGGGGGGATTACTTCACTTTTGTCTAAATTGAATAAATTGCTCATGTTTTAACTGTTTTGTCTCCGCAGAAAAGAACAGCCTCAACACGATTAAAGCGATGGGAAATGGAAAGACTTCCTCAAACGGATCCGTCAATGAAGCGAATGGATAATACATATATTATTTTGACTGTCTCATAATGCATGTTCGTTTCTTAGAATACACGTATTTACACTTCGTATCCTTTATCGTAACAATGGAAAATATTTACTTTGAGAATGAGTGAATAAAAAAATACATTCAAAACAATCCCGAGTGAACAATTGATTCCAACATTAATTTAAAAAAATGCCGCAGTTACGCAGTGGCAATTTTGGTTTGAACTATTTTGTTTTTGTTTTTTTACTTCGTTTGGAATAGCCTTGATGAGCACCAGAGAAATATGACGTGCAGGTCAGATCGGAGTGGTGTCTCGCCAGATGCCCGATTGTTGATATCGAAAAATGTTGGAAGTGTAATTAATGCACAACAGTTGAGAGGTGAAAACGGTTCAAAGGCGGGCGTGCCCGTATAAACGTGCCCGAGCCGCGAAAATGCGCTCACGTGCACTTGCTGAAATGAAGTCTGCCAGGAGCTTCCCGTGCTCACCGAACATGCGGGAGGATGTAAGGAATAAATTTCTGTTCGCTCAACTCAAACGTCTGCTCATTTGCTTAGGTTGACATGTGTCGGTAATTTTGCCGGAAAAGAAAAATTATCCAGTTTGACGAGTTTACATGTAGATACTAAAACAACAGCGCCTCAAGTTTTAACAAAATTAGGCCCGACTGGAATTGGTTTTATGGTTCAGCGTGTGTGGCATTCTGTTATAGTTGATCGCTTAATAGTTGTATCTATATTCACAGAACGACTTCATTCTCTTTTTTGATAATTGTATTTTTACATTTAAGAAAGCGGCCACGACGTATTTACATTGTGCGATGACGTCACCCGTGGTTGAGCGCTTGCGTTTTTGCAATTTAGGACACATGAGACAGTTGAAACAAGTTAGAACGTTTATTTAAAGTTTGACACCAAGTGTTACCTTCCCACTTTAAAGCTCGCTGCTCTTTGTTACTATTCAAATATGCTGTTAATGTAAAAAAAAAAAAAAAAACATTTATGCCTGTACACAACCCGAGGATGATCTTCCATTTCGAAATGTTGGAACAATTGAAACAAAGTTGGACTTTGACAGAAATACAAACGGATTAATACTTTAACACAAAGTGCTTAAGAACAGTTTCAAAAGAACTCCAATAAATTTAAGTCTTTTGTCAAATAATTTCAAATTACTGTACAGCAAAATATTTCAACTCAATGAATGGATGCATCAACAGAAAACATTTCCCACTGTATCTCCCAGCATAAGATGCTGTTATATTTTGATAGTCAAATGTACACATTTTACAAAAGCAACGTGCATGTAACCAGTGCATAATTGGAAGAGGACTTCATTTCACTGTTTGATAGACTTTATGTATATGCACGTTTGTCTCTGATTTCTTAACACAATTTTCTCTTTTCATGGCCCCTTGTTCTGCATAATATTGAGGTCTGGTGTGTCCACATCATCTCTTGTCTTTAAAGAAACCTTTTGAAGTGCTGCTCTCCTTGATAGTGACAGTCAGGAAGTTGGCGGTGACATCTGTCACCAGTACCTTTTCCACGCTGCACAGAGACGGTCGCCATGTCACCTCGTCCAAGTTGACGTCGAGTCGGGTTGGGGATGGCTTGTCCAAAAAGTAAGGCTTTTCTGTGGGGACAAGCTGGCTGGGGCCACGCTGGTGCTTGGAGGGGCCTGAGCTGTTTTTAGTCCTGTGTGTGTCCCTTTGTGAGTGCAGGTCGCTCTCTGCGTAAAGTTGCTTGTGGGATCCCCGGCCTGTCATTGGCCGGTTTTGTGAATGATGATGATGGTGGTGGCGGTGGTGCCGATGGTGTTTATGGCTGTGACCGTGGTACTCTGGGCTTCTGTGATGGGAAACTTTGAGTAGTTTCATATCTTCACCACTCTGCAGCTTCATCAGTTTTTGAGGGCTGTGGTTTGACAGTTCATCTGCTCTCCTCTCGTCGGGCTCGTAGGCTGCTGGGATGCTGTCTTGGAAACGGAGCTTTGGCTTCGGCCCTCTCTTTTTGGGTAAATGCACCAGCTCTTCGGAGTTCGCTTGTTGCTCGTGGGCCAAATCTGGTGGACTGACAAATACGCTTTCTCCCCGGTTAACAGTGCTGGGTGGGAAAATTGTGGGAACAACCGCTCTCAGGCCTTCTCTGGCCCTGTGGGTGACAACGGGCTCTCGTGTGGCGTAGCTAAAGCGCATCCCCCGCATTGTCTCGTTCCTAAATTCATAAGACTTGGTGGCCTGGGCCTATTAGAAAATGAGAAAATGAGTTTAGCCACTGTTTCACACATTTGGTGACAATTTCAAAACTTTCCATTTCGTGACACTGTAAATTTACACTTTGGACGGAGTTTCATTACTGTGGAGTAACCCTTAGAAAAACGTCGGTTAAAACACTTCATTTGCTGCTCAGGGAACCAGGCTTCAACAGTGTAATTAACGTGTGACACTGCTATAAAACGGACAATTACAGGACCAAGTTCCTTCCTGGACCTTGTATTCACCTCTGAACTTCCAGTGACCCTGTTTAACAACACTCTTGTCTTGACACAGGCTGCTGTTTAGATCGAGATAAACTTGAGTCTGGTTATATATTTTTTTAGTTTACTTGTTGTGGTCGTGAAAGTTTATTTCTGACACTAAAGTATTTGCTTGTGAGGCCTAACAAAAACAGATTTTTTTTTTGGGGGGGGGGGTTGTTGCCAATATAGCGTTGTTATTACAGAGCTCGAACAGAAATTATTAGTTGTGAGTTGCTTCAGTGGCCAGCACAATAAATGTGAGATATCAGGTATGCCATGGGGAACAATTCAATTTCACCTAATGGGTTTGAAAATGATCAATCGTTTCATACAAATAATGAATGTTTGTTCCTCTATCTATGCCAGCGTCATAGAGAGAATAACTGTGATCTGTGAAGTCATCATTATTTAAGAACGTATACTGTTTTGTGACATTTTTGTGTGGTGCTGTGCAACAAGATTTTTCTCTTGTAAAATGTGCGGCCCGGCTTAATAAAGGTTGAAAAACAATGCCTTCCAAGATCAAACGCTCATTTGAATACGCATAATTGCAATTATGATAATTTGGATTAGCAAGCGATTAATGCAAAACGAAAAAAATGTTGATTAACTTTACCTTGAGAAGAAGCTTCTTGGGTTTGGGTCCTCTCTTTTTGGGTCCGAAGAGTTCCCTTTCACGCTCCCTGTTCGGAACACGGCAAAGCCAGACGCCTCTTTCAAGTGTCAGCCGATCAAAGTGCGCATGACGACATGTTAGGATCGACCACGTAACGTGGAACGTACCTCTGCTCGAAAGCCGCAAACAGACGGGAGTCCAGAATATTTTCCTCCGGTTCCCATGTGCTGTATCTGTTAGGGGGGATTGAATACCATAAAATCGACGGTTCGTTTGGATTGAGGAAGCGAGAGCTCGGGCGTACACAGCGTGGCGGGTTTGGTCGTCGCGTTCACCCCACGAGCTCCGATCCCCCATCAAGCTTTAATCATGCTAGCCGCGGCGAGCTAACGACAGCTACCACGGCATTGACACAACATGCGGCGCAAAAACAGAATAGCAGAAAGCGAGACTTACTTAGGAGACCAGCCCTTCCATTTCACAAGGTACTCGAGCCGACCCTGCATGCCGTCAGAAACACAACAGGCGTGACTTAGCTTGCAGGACGACATTAGTGTTACAAAAGCAGCATTTTGATTCACATTTTGGTGAAACCAAGGGCCACGTACCTTCCTGATTCTGCGTTTGATGATAGACTCGGCGGCGAACACCCTCTCCCCGACGGCAGACAGCTCCATGTTGACTCCAGTGCGACCTACCGTTAGCTAAGCTTGCTAGTGTTAGCGAAGCAGACGTTTTTTTTCTCCCAGTCCCTCTGCCACTCTGAATTCCCAACAGACCATAATACTACCGAGCACAGAATGGACGTCAGCGCATTTTTTACATCGTTGCTAAGGAACCGCAGTCGGTGGACCCAATTCGACGACGCCCATTGGCCCAGCCGTTGCTACGTGATCGGGTTGCTAAGTGAGGGGTGGAGCTTAGTGCGGCCGGGAGATCCCTTCTTGCTCCGACATCGGCTTATTACTTCAAATTGCTGTGGAGAGAGAAGACAAAGATGTGGAACATTTTTCATTACAATGATTTCAAAACAGTCGCTTCTACGTTTGCCACGGGTGTTGTTGATTTGAAGTAATTAGCTCCAAGAAAATAAAGACATTTTCAGCACGCAGCATCGAGAGAACGCGTAAATCTGCACCATAGGACGACATGAAAGGCTTTCTATTCCATTCTATTCTATTCTATTGGAGACGTCTATGTTCGTTCATCCAATCCAGCACGTTCATTGTAAAATGTCGTTTGTTTTTTGTAAATTAGAGCAATTGCATCCTGTTCACAATTGTTACACTTGTCTGTATTCTTTGGCTGTTTGCAGGAAAATAGAAGAATCAGGAATTCAATCAAGAATATATATGTGTCAACAAAAACAGATGAATAAACCTGACTGAATTAAAATGTGTGTCATCAAAATGTGTCTTCCTTGAGTGGTAAATTTCGAAATTGTGTATTTAATAAACGGTTACGTGTTTGTTTTTACTGCAGAATAATGACACGAATTTGAGCTCGGTTACTTTAAATCATGCTCACAAATGACAAGCAGATTTTGTTGTTTTATTATTCAACCGCTAACCGACCCCTTCCCACCCGACCCCCCCGAGAAAAAAAGCAAATGAACAGCGACTTTATTTATCTTTGCTTCACGTCTGATGTGTCAAATCATTACAGAAAGTGAGCGCCAAATACAAAACATTACATTTTATGAATGCGGCAAGAATCGCCCGGTCGTTATATTCCAGCCTTGAACAACGCATACATTGAAGCCGTTCTCATTGTGCCCCGACCGAAAATTTATGCTCGACTAAAGATGGTAATAATTGTAACAACTGTATAATAATAATAATAATAATAATAATAATAATAATAATAATAATAATAATAATAATAATAATTTTATTCTTATAGAGTTGTAAAATACAAATCATTTAAATCATCCCGCAACCAAGCGGAATAGGTTAGAAGAATGAATGCCATTCATTGATATATTTTGAAGTTGTTGGCGTTGTTGTGGTCGTTTTAAATAATACAAGAGATAAACACGTGAGATATATATAGTCCAAATTTATGAAACATATTTCCAAACAATCGATGACCCTCCTTAGCCGTAAATTGCCTACGTAAAAATGACTTCATACTGAACACATTTGAATTTGGGTATTCCATTAATTTCGATTAGAGTGCTAATTGCACGTGAAAATCACGTTTTTTTAAACACGTGTTTTCGTATTGTGTCGTGTTGGGCTCATTTATTTGAATACATAAATAAATAAAATGCACTGCGTAAAATAATTTGTGCAATTGTATACATTAAAATCTCCACGATAGCTTCAAATATTCACGAGAGAAACAGTTTCTGCAAATTATATTTCTTGTGGCGCTTTGCATTTGATATCATTAGACATAATTAAGACGTTTTAGTGAGGATGTAACACGTCGTGATTTTAGTTTCCTCTGAATTATTTCATAATCCCGGTGTATCTTCTTGTCGTTAAGCATTGCTGTTACTTCTTTTTTCAAGCCATTTTGCGCGAGGAGAATAGCTGGCGCATCTTGGGCTGGATATGATTGGTGTCAATCAGAGTTGCTGCAGTTTCAGAGAACACGTGCGTGCACGATGTGGAAATATATTACTAACGTACACGAACTAGCTGCAATAGCCTACATCCAGAAAGGCAATGAGATAAACCTGGATTTTATTTTCTTGAACCCAATGGACACAAAATAGGCGCATAAAATTTATTCCATGTTTGCAATCTTTAACTGTAAATGAAACATAAAAGCGACATGCACATGGACAACCGCACACATTTCAGTATATTTACACAAACCATGCATCGATGCCAAATACATTGACAAGTCATTATCTCGATGACCATGCTGTCTGCTAGATCGTCATCATCTCGTCTGTGCACATGCTGCTACAGGCCATAGTCGGATATATAAGCACCACTCCCTAAAAATTCACCGCAGTCACATTTGTCTTCACACCAGACCCGTCAAGGATAAATAAACAGTGGCGTCAAGCGCACCCTTTTTCCTGTTCACCTGCTTCTAAGAGGGACTTTAAATCTATCTCAAAGTAAATGTCTTTTGCAGACATAATCTTTCCATTTTGCAGACCATTAAATATGATCATTAGACAGTAACATGCGTCTACATCGTGTCTTCATAAAAATATCACACAAAAACATGGAATGGAATGAGAAAAACTCAAATCCCCAGCATGATTTTTATATTATTATGCATGCGTAACAGAGCATTAGAATATTAATCGAATACTGATTTAAAAGGGCGATCGTTCAAAAGACGCATGCGAGCAGTCGTGCTGCACGTAATGTGCATGACTTGCAAGCCACACAAGATGAGACAACGTGACGCCCAACCGCAAAACAACGCGTCGGGGTTTCGCACCACACGCATGCAAACGAGCAGCTGGGACCGCCTTTGATTAACCCTAACACACACACACGGCCCGATTGTTACACCCAATACACATGACATTCTGATACTGCCGCAGTTGCCGTGACGCGCGGCGTTGTTTTTTTTTTTTATCCGACACCGTGGATGAGTCAGAGCTCGAGAGCGAAAAGGAGGACAGCCATTTTCTCCCCCTTTGTGGCTGCGCACATCCGCGCGTGAAAAACATACTTGGTTCGAGTTGCGGATTTAAGCATAGGAAATGGTCCATTTTACACACGGCGTTTGACAGAAGACGTCAGTCGCAAGTACCGCACGACAACAATGGTGGGCAACGAGATGTTTATTGGGAGGTTAACGTATAAGAGGGCGTCGTTTTGCTCTCCACATCCTCAGTTTTAAAGCGCCCTTCAGTTCTCGAGCGGAACAGCAACGGAATGAAATGAAGGCAATAGGAAACTGCTGCCACCACCTTAAGCGAAAACACACCGTGGCACTCCTCTTGGCGGCGGTTTCGTCCGATCGCACCACCTGCCTTGGTCCTTGATGTTTGGCACGAAACGACGGTGCAATTCCTGGATTCGTTTTCATATAACAAATGAGCACAATAACACACTAAGTGTGTCTAGTAAACCAAATATTACAAACACAACAAGAGTTCAGGCATCATTATGATACATCGTATTATGCTAATTTAACAAGCGTATATAGAATACAGTTGTAAATTGAGGGGTTCGTTGTTTTTAGTGGATAGTTCTACTTTACGAACGGCAAAAGGAGAGATGGAATCCTTTAAATGCAGTTTTATTAAAAGGGGAAAAAAGACGTCTGCACCGCAGCACGTTCGAGAACACAACTGTCGTAACTAAAATCACTTCCTGCTTCTCTTACTTCAACAGCCAATCAGAACCTATCAACATAAAAACATGTCTAAGCAATTAATAAACAACAGAATATAATTTATGTATTCTTAACGTGAAATAATATGATACGCAAACATAAAATGACAATAATTAATACAACATAAGCTTACACAGTCATGGGATGCCATCCACATGAACACGAAATGTCAAAGACGAGTGCTCATCATGAGTTTCGGCCCGGCCTGGTCGCACTCACTCTTCACGGCAGTGTAAACGTCATAACGTCAATCCGGAGACCAAGTTGAACTTGCAAATAATTTTATTATTGCAAAACTGTAAAGGAAGCATTCACTTAGTCTGCCCACAAAACATGAAAGTGCATCACTGCACACTTTACAAATCACATGTGCTGGAATGGTTATTCTTGTGAAAACATGCCCTATAAAGTGAGAGGCATAGAGCACAGGATTTAAGACACAAGAGGACCTTCTCTGTAAATGCTGGTATCATCCTTTGTTATTACACTGTGTGTTCTCAAAGTTATTCGATCAGGGTTTGATATGTGCTTACGAAACACATGCTAAAGCCGCTGCGCAGATGTGTGGGCCACACAGAGAGTGGAGAGTCAAATGATAGCCTACCCAGCTGGTGGTACGAATCGGATAGACTACACAGTTCGACTAGCACATATTTGTGATTGCGATATCATTCACATGAAGAATTCCCACTGCAGTGCTGCAAAACATAAATTAAATAAATGCTTGCACTGACTTAACCAGTGTCCGAGGCACACTATCAGACAACAGAAGCAGGGACAAATAAAAACATAAGCAACATTAATAAAGTTTCATTTAACACTTTCAGCTTCTCAAAAATACAGTTGACATTTATTGACAAAGGTGCTTTCCTTATTAATTTTAAACAAGTATCCACACAGCTTGTATCTGTCTCTGTACACACTTTTTGCTCTCCCTCTCTCTCACACACACACACACACACACACACACACACACACACACACACACACACACACACACACACACACACTGTTTTTACCATGTTTCAATATAATTTTCTTCCATACAAACATTTCTATAAATCCTATATTCTTTACAAGAGTTTGAATGTAGACTGTAGCACAAAAAAAACATTAATAAGAATGTAAGTGCATTTTCAGTTAGTTCTAAGTCTTTTAAATTTCTGAACTAATTTTGAAATTACATGTGACAAAGTCACAACATATGACATGTCATGCAGGAAATAAGCAAATTGAGCAAAGAATTCAAATGCTTTTTCCTTCTGAGCTATACAAAATTATATAGGAACCGGTTCTGTTTGCACATTCTAGCCTCTGAAAATACAAATACGTCTCCTGTACTTTTATACAGTTACACTGTAACGTACTCCTTGAAGGTAACTGTGAGGCAGTTTGTCGTAATGTCCGTGATGACTATATTCCCGAGGAACGGCTGGAAAGATGGAAACGCTGTCTCCACTTTTCCCGTTTCCTGGTGACCAACAGTCGGCGAATCAACTGTGTCCACAATCGCAATGTTTTCAGTTTCAGCCTGGGGCTGACTTTCAGTTTGCTCTTTCACTTGCGAGTCTGTCTGTGTTCCATCCTGTGTGTGTCGTTCTGGCTGGCTCCCAGCGGAAGCAGCGACTTGAGGCCTGGACTTAACAACGCTCAAGTCAATAGGCTCCTCTTGATCATGATCAGCATAGTCACAGTGCTGCAATGAAAAGGGACCCCGGAGGTCATTTTGGTCCGTGCTAATGCTTTGGGTGGGCGAGGAGAGTGTGTGGTGGGAGATGAACAACCTCTTGTTACTTCCATGCTCCTCATTGTCAGTGTCAGTATGGTGTCGCTTTAATCCTTGAAATTCATCTTGAGTTGTGTTTTTATCAGTGAACACGGGAACTCCGGTGTCCAGAGGCGAAGAGACCAGATTAGACTTGGGTGTCAATTGTAAAGGCTGATGGGCTGGAAGCAGACACTGACCCCTGACCTCAAAATGTTGATCCTGTTCTGTCACAGCAAGTTTGGTGTGGGCGGGCTGTTCGCTTTCTTTGGTTGAATCTCCCGTGAATCCCGAGTCGGCTTTGGGTTTCTTTGCAAATCCATTAACGAGACCGAGATGTTTGACCAGCTTCATCTTCTCGAGGTGCCTTTCTGCGTTGTCTGCTCCTTGTGAAAACGCCTCCGCCGACTGGGATTCAGCATTTGTAACCTTTGCGTCCTCCATTCCATTTTCCATGTATTTGCTCATGACAATAACAATCCGTCCGTTCTTGTTTTTGTTTTTCACAATTTTGAGTTTACTGCCACTGACGCCGTTGTGCTGTACTGAGGCAGGGTCTTTAGGCTTTGCCTCCTCTTGTTCTTTGTGGCCATTGAGGTCGGCTGGGAGCTTTTTCAGCTCCATGGTGATGTCCTTTACTTTGGTCAGGACGCCTGAAGTCTTGTCCCGGAACCATTTTTGCTGCAGCACAGGGGGGAGATTGTATCCCTTGATGGGCAGCTCTCTCGCGTTGACCTCTCTTGGCTTCGCAAACACAGACTCATGCATCTGGAGGCCCGGCTGGTAGTGGTGGTGCTTCTTGGTGTTGAGCTGATAGTAGAACTTGGTGCCGTTGGCATGCTGCTCAGTCTCACATTCTCGGCTCATGGGCTGGAACTGATGATGTTTCTTGCCGTTCAGCTGGTACTGCTGGCTCTGGGGACGCAGCATTGGAACGGAATTGGTGTCGTGACAGCTGTCTCCTTGCAGGGAAGACTCATGACGGCCGGCGAGTATACTGGATCTCCGAGCAAAAGAAGGGACCTGTCCAAGTACACAGTCGTTAAAGAACAGCGCTTGCGTTGATGGGGCACTTATTGAAAACACTCATAACAAACATAACATCGGTTAAAACGTAATCTTGGTGGACAATAGCATCTTTCAAAAGCATGCAGACCAAGTACACCGCCACCATGGCTGAAAAATTGGCATTCGGTTCAGCAACGCATTTCTATTCACAATTTGCTTTAGGTGTGGTGTGGTTAATGAGTTGTGGTGAGAGAATGACCTTAATAGACTGTAAGGTAACCTCTGCACCACAGAGTAATACCTTTCCGTCATAGGCGGCGTCTGTGTTCACTCAGCAAACCCCCCCCCCGCCATTCACGAGCACCACTAGTGACATTTGTTTCAAGTGTTTCCTGTGGCAGTGACCTCAGCTCAGAGGAATGCCTCCGGCATGCTTTGTGACCTGTCATTGACTTAGCACGTGTTGGCACTGACACCTTCCTAAGAGGAATAGAAGCAGTCCTCTGAGTGGTACCCCTGACCTTTGGGGCGGGTAAAGGATGCGCAAAATGTGCCGTTCACATTCTTGGAACAACATCTACTGAAGTAAGGTCACAATTAGAGATACTGTAGTATCTCATTTTGTTCTTATCACAAAGAGTGAGGTGACTGATTATAGTTACATTGCCAGATTTACTGAGCAAAAAAAAAACAAAAAGTAATAGACAACCAATTTGGGACAAGTAAGAACGCATTATATATTGGTGTATGTTCCAGATAATTTGCAGAGTTAAATGGAGTCAATCATTTGAATTTTTGAGGATTGCAGTCTGCTTGCACGAAGGCCAACATACAGTATGTGGTGATAATTGACACCTACTTTGCAATTATGCGTTATTGCACTAATAGGGCTCGACTTCAGCAGGTATTTTTTTTTCTCTAAATTGAACTTTTTTTTATTATTTGGCCTGAGTGGAGCTCTGCATTCTGAGTGACGTTTTAGTATCTTTTGGAAATCATCAGGATGAGGTCTGTGACAAGGGAATGATCATTTCTCTTTGACCACGAAGAAGCTAAGTGAACTCAAACAATGTGGGAGTCCTATTTTGCAAATCGAACCGAACAGATTTTTTTCTCCATTTTGAAGAATTGTCAGGAAGGGACTCACTATACTGAGCTATGCTGTCTCGTGTTAGACACCCCACACATTATGGAATATAGAATTCTAGTATTTCATTGTTGGTAGGAATTCTTCATTGACATGCAGGACTATTTTCTTACCTGAACCAGAAGGTGCTTGGGCTTTGGTCCTCTCTTGCGATAACCCATCAGCTGCTCTTGACGTTCCCTGTGAGAGAAACAGCAGGTCGTGATGGAAGCCACCTTGCACTGAGTAAAGTTACCGTCACATGGCAACGCAATGTACAATAAATGATCCAGACGTGAGCCCGACCGGAGCTACTGATCGGCCAAAGTTTAACACTGCAATCTAATGAGCCTCGTCCTCCCCAAAGAACATGCCATCGGTTTAGTGAATGTATCCAAGCACGAAAGGCTGTCGGCCCTTGTTGACTTTCTCCCCCCACTCTCCATACTCTTCTCTCCACAGAAGTAACTCAATACAGCAGACAGAAGTGATGTCAGTCCCCTCCCCCCCGTCCTCCTCCCTCACATCTAATTACAGTGACGACTCAGTGTATTTTCATAGCCTGGCATTCGGACAATTTGGCTCCCTGGAGAGACATGCAATTAGTTTCAATAAAATCTCTGCTTGTGTGTGAGAGAGAGAGTGAGAGAGAGAGTGAGAGTGAGAGAGAGAGAGAGAGAGAGAGAGAGAGAGAGAGAGAGATAATTGCTAAAACAGATGGAGAGTGATGTTCATGTTAACGTGTGACCTAGGCCTGAAAGGTTGCAGTGTATGAGAGAACAACGCAGGCTTAGAGAAAGGCCAGTGACAGGTTAACACAATATGCATCTAAAATATTCACTTCCACCTTTATGAGCCCAGTCAGTCACTTAGCAGACGTTAACCACAGAAGACCCTCCACTAATATGGAGCACAAAGAAGTTGGTCATATTTTGACATTTAGAGATCACGTGACTTATGACTGTAATTTAGTTCAGTGATCAACAAAAAGTTCATTTCTATCTGCATTTTCAATAAGTCAGGAACAGATGAAAACAAGATGTGAAGACTAAAGTTTCCTTCTTCCTCCCAAACTAGTGTTTCATTACTTCACACGGATATTGGACTTTCACTGATGGAAGTGACAAAGCATATGAACACTTTCAGCGTCTTGTCAGCACGACTTGTTCAGCGCTAACAACTACGGTGGAACAAACACCAAAATAAGGTACTGCAACCTTAAAAAACAGCCACATTACTTTGAAAACATGCTGGGAATGAAACCCTGTTGTATTCAATCATAATATGTGATGTGATGGTAAATGTTTTACGGGGGTGCAATTTTGTTTCGAACAATAACGTGGAAAGAAACTTACCACAGTAGCAAAAAACAAACAAACAAAAAAAAAAACCCTTTATGCTCAGGAAAAAGTAATAAAGTAGTTCTGTGGATGTTGTGGCAGGTGCATGGGATGACTGGATGGTGGGAAACAGGCAGCACTCAAGCATGATAACCTGATGCTGACATGCAAAGAAAGATCATGTGACAAAAGGACTGTTGATGCTCCACTTTGCTCGGACCTTAACCCCGATTTGACCCTCTAACGACACCGTTTTTAATCCTAATCCAGTCTCTACAGTGGTGTTGAATAGTTGACAGTTGAGCGTCAACACTGGATTTTCCTGGATGTTTGCCGAGGCTGCAAAGTTTATGCTACAAACATCTAAATCTTTTTGTTTAAAAACACGTAGATGATTGAAAGATGTCAAGTTTTGTGTTGAAAACAGGAAAAGTAGGGAACAGTGAGTTTAAACATGTTTCGTCACGTTAATGCACACTGAATAAGGGCTTTGGCACCTGTATGGCTGGTTTGTTGGGAAAAAAAAAAGCGTACCTGTCTTCAAAAGCATCAAGTAGCCTTGGGTCCAGAATGTTTTCTTCCGGTTCCCATGTATTGTACCTGTTTAGAGATGAGTTCATTAGTGGACAAACACAAGACACAACTTTAAAAAAATGTTGACATGTTGAAACATACAGGCCCGTTGGATGCATCTAAATTAATCACCACTAACTTTGAAGGGCCTACAATGAAGGAATGTCCAAATGAAGGAGTGTGCATGTCTTTATTTAGGGAAATGTGTATTGCATGCACTGTAAACTCGCACCCACCATTTTGGGGCCAACGTGCAAAGTTCCCCAAGTGAATACAAGCAACCACCCACGATCCCATAGAGCCATTTATGTGTTGAATGTGATAGTTGCAGTAATCCTTTCTGACGTTTATTGGGTCACTTACTTTGGGGACCATCCACGCCACTTGACCAGATACTCAACCCTTCCCTGCGAATGCACAGATAAGCAGCATTAAGCAACGGCAAAAACACGCTCTTCGGGTCATATTAAAACATCGCGCGTTGTCAGAACATGTAAACAGTCGGAGCTAAGAGGAACGCTTCATTTCCATGTGACAAACCTTCCGGCTACGCTTCTTCTCGATGCTCTCCACTGCAAAGACGTGCTCTCCCGCGGCGGGAAGCTCCATTTTCACATTCAAGTGCAGCGTTTCGTGATTTTTTTTTTCCGTTTTCCTTTCTTTCGACTTGCGACACCTTATATCCTTCGAATGAAAAAGCACAAGAACACTCCTTCGCTTCCCTCGCTTTCCCCTCGGACACTCAGCGGCAGTGTAAGGCTTCAAGCTGCTGCCAGAAAGCACGAGATGCAAATAGCCGTTTCTGTGACGTTGAAAGATGGGCGGGCACAAGGGGGCGGTGTATCTTGGATGCTGATTTCATGGACGGTTGGAATAACGAGGGAGCGCTAGAAAGACGAGCCAATATTTAACAATGACATTTTCACAACAGTACAATCGAAACAAATTGGAATGCTGCTGTTTTTTTTTCAGATGTTCAGTCATTGTTTAATTTCTAATTCCCTGTCAAAGTGAAATAAATGTTTCTAAATTTGCCATACCACAGGGAGGATTATTTTTAACAACCCTGAAATTTTTGAAGGATTCAAAAAATCGCCACGTGTACAAGATGAGGCTTAAAAATAATGAAATATCAAGCCCATTTCTCCACTCGGCGACATTATGGGCATGATCATTGAATGCAGCCAGTTTCCAAGGAGTGCACCACCCCCATCCCCCACCACTGTCACCTGTAAATCAAATACCACTCAACTCAACTCAACTCAACCCAACTGTATTTATAGAGCACTTTAAAACAGCCATCGCTGTATACAAAGTGCTGTACATGGAGCAACTATCATACAACAATAAAACAATAAATCAATAGCAAAGACAGTAGAAAGCACCAAACAGTAAAACTAAGATCAAGTGTGAGTCATGTTGAGTCAAACGACTATTACCTGGTTGTGGCAGCGCCAGGTGAGTTGTTTTGGTAAGCCATTTGAGTTTTAGTGGTAGGTTGATGAAGGAAGCCTGAATTTTCCGACCTCTGGTCAGGAAAGTGGACTGGTACGTCACTCAAGCTGTGAGGTCCAAGTCAGGAAGTCAAGAAGTGGGACAAACAAAAAATCTCCCCCAATTTAAGCTAACGTGACGTCACTCAACAATGGCGACTCCCTTAGGGACACAGGCCGTCAATGGAAAAACTATCGAGCTAACTATCAAACTAACTATTCATCAATCTTTATTGGCTAGTGAAAAAATCTTATTTGACATAACTTAATGTGACACATGATATGTACTGACTGCATGAAGATTTGCCGCTATCTCCCTGCATTAAATTATTTGGTGAAATGCATGAAATGCTAATTAGACATTTGTTTATGATATTAATAAAGCTGTTGTTGACGAAAACGACACTGCAGGCCAACGCTGAGCCTTGGTGCCCATTTTGGCGCTCAACTCATGTCGGGGTCCAAATGCATCACTTGGCCCCGTATTAGGCATGTCCAAAAATAAGTGAAAAAGAATGCGCACTTTCTCCAAGGAGTTAAGGAGACGTACACCTCCTCTGCATACTGTGAACAACTGTTCATCTTTTCGGAACAACATTTTAGTTTTGAAAATGTCAAGTGGCAAAAATGAGTGTTTGGCTGTGAGAAGTTTCGAAGTGTGTTCAGTCTTCTGAAAGATTAAACGATTGGACGGAAATGGTCGGAATGTATTTTTGGAAGCATGCAACAGACCATCCAGCAGCTGTTTGCCCGTGATCGTCATTTATCAGAGGACTGCCTGGTGAACCTTGGCCAGTACCAAAGTGAATTGGTCGAGAGATCAAACCTTTAAAACAGGCACAATTCCCAATCAAACCCACTGGAGAGGCCAGGAGCTGTATATAAATTAAACCGCTAGTTAAATGATGACATAATATTGGCATGAATGCATGAACGTTCGCTTTGTTGTCAAGAAAGGAAAAAAACATTGTTGTTACACACATTATCATGTGCATGGATGAATACTACATCAATGCTGCATAAAGATTGCCACTGAACTCTCGATCGAGAACGTTTTTTTCCCCAGAAACGAATACATTTGTTTGTTTATTGAAGATATAAACATAATATAATTGCAGTGAAATGTAATTACAACCTTTAATTGACCGCTCAGCAGCAGTCGGGTGAGTGTCAAAAATACGAGCTGTGGTGAGACATTGAACGCATCAAAATATCTTCCCTGGTCCCTGAGTGTGGAGATGCTGCAGCAGGGTGCCATGAATAGATTAAGTGCCATGCATGGCCTCAGAGTGTTGTACGTCTATAATACAACACACATATTCAGCTTTTTTGTGTCCAGTCTATCTCCTTGCACGAATATTGATCGATCATGCAAAACAAATGAGGACGGCGATCACGCATTTAAATTTGACATAAATGCACAGCACTGGTAATCATGGCTCATAATGCTTTATCTGTGGCGAGGGAATCGCGTGTATTAATTTTAACTCCGAGGAAGATAAAACAGCTTGGGGGGCTGGAGGGGGCGGGGGTGATACAGTTATTTTGCCTTGAATCGTTGAAGTTCAATGTGGGGGCAGGTCGCTGTTGTGTGCGCATGGCAATGAAGAGTCAAGGTCACGCGGGGATGACATTTCTCTTGGCACCGTGTCGCGCCAATTTTCTGGTGGATTTTTGTCGTGTTGCGTGAGATGTAGGTCAGGATCCAGCTGGCTATTTCTGATCACGGAGGAGGGACACACCACCAGAGTTATTTCATGAAATTGTCCTTAAATATTGCTAGTTAATGTTATTATTACCGTCGCAAGGGACAATAAACAACAACAAGAGTTTGTATTGCTTCATACAGCGGCACTCAATAAAATTCAGCAGCGGAGGGGTTAAAGTGGAGGCTACCTGCAGGCTGCGAAACTCGGCCTATTGTCGTGAGGCACGTACCACTCGCGACTGTCTTTCCTTCTGTGGAAATGGGCGAAGTTCGATGTTAGACCACCACGCCTAGTGGCCGACCGTTGCACTTGAACTATCTAACCACGATAACGTCTATTTTCAGTGGCCGGGCATGGCGTGGATATTTTGCCTCCGACATTCACCGGTGCGCGCGCCCAAGATTGCCCGCGCGCACGACAATGTAACACTCTGTTTCCTTTGCATTGACGGGACACGTGCCGATATTATAATTACAAAAAGGATGAAGTCAATTAGAAGTGTGTGCGTGTGCGTGTGTGTGTGTGTGTGTGTGTGTGTGCGTGTGTGTGTGTGTGTGTGTGTGTGTGTGTGTGTGTGTGTGTGTGTGTGCGTGTGCGCGCGCGCGCGTAATAGGTAAGGTGCTATTGCGCTTTTGTCGACGAAGCATTCTCTGTCAACTGTCACCTCCCTCTCACGACGCTTTTACAAAGAAAGCGTCACCTTGGGAGGCTGCGTCATGTTCGGGAGTAATTAATTTTGATCATGTATTGCTGATATTCACCGAAGCAACGCTCACCCATGTCAACACTACCACCACCACCAACAACAAAAAGTCAACTTCAATTCTGTGTAATCGGAAGTTTAGCTAGACAGTACTGTACGGAATTGTATCAGAGGTTACTTACCATAAAATGAAACTTGACTAGATGCCAAGAAAAGGTTTGACATTTTTCAACACCTTTATTTCTTCCTTATCTGATCAGATCAGGTAGTGCCAATGTAGCCGTAACAGTGACATTTGTTTCCTTGATGACGAGATTGTGCATTCAGCTATGTATACAAGAACCTAGTATTTTATCGACTGTCAAATAATAACTGTGTATCAAAAATGAGAAGATCTGTGTTCTAAAAATGAAAATCTGTCCAAGCCCAAATCGAGCTTTTTGCACTTTTTGGTAGGGTGTACAAATCATGAGACAATATTTTGCACTCCAACCACACAGCAAATAAGTGTACATTTACAGAATGCGTTTGCACATTTCAACAATAATCTTCCACAATAGCTGCATGATTATACATTAGGCAGTAGATTAAGCATAGGCCATCATTTTGCCATACACAAATTGCTTATGATGTTTATACCTATATGCTAAACTTGTTGTTCTTCAGTGTTGAGTAATCATTAATCACGAATGAAGTGTCAGTGGTGTTATTTTTAAAGCTATTAATTCATACAAAGTATTGAAATACTGTTCAGGAATTAATTTATATCCTATGTAAGATGCTGATGTGAACTATTACCAATTAGTATTTGGCTGTTTGAACTGCTTGAAACATTTGCTTGTGTGATTTAGTTGCTATTATACCATTGCAAACCTGCGCCAATATATTAAACACGGTTAAATTAGTCCCTGCTAACAATGTGTGTTGTTGGTGACTCTAGATTTCCATCACTGCAGCTTCATCTTCAAGAAAAGAATGTTTTGTTTACGGCTTTACTCTTTATAAAGCAATAAAGCGTGTAATTGCTTTGCAGTGCCTCCCCATTTTATTATCATTCTAGGAGGAAATGAAGGGAAAACGTGATGCTTATCAATGGAAGCAGTGATGAGGAGAGCATCTGCTTTATGTCCACGGAATAATGTGTGAAACTTCAAACAAGTCACAGGTTGTAAATCAGATTTTTTTGTGGCACATCTATATTGACAGGGCAGAGAGGACGAGGAGCAGGTGTGCTGATCTATTTCAGATGACATTTCCAACAAGAAAGAAATTGGTCCTGGCCCGCGTCACAGCCCAGCCACGTCGATTAATTGACAGTAGTCGAAAAACATAGGATGGGGAGGGACAAGGTCATTTGGAGCAGTTTGCATGTGGCAGTAAACAAGAGATGAACCAATTGGAGAATATGAGTTAAGAGCTGGGCAGTATGGTAGTTAAGTGGTTAGCATTTCAGACTGACACGACAGAGTTTCTGGGTTTGTGTCAGGGCTGCCTTGACCTACTCATCCAGTGACGTTCAGTGAGGCACGACTTCACTTAAATTAGATTAAAAAAAAAACATGAAGCCAATATATAACATTAGCCTGTATTTTAAATATTACTGTCATTAAAACATTTCTCAAATATGGTCAAAGTTGAATTTGGGAATATTTGTTTTCAAAGCTCAAAGTTATGTTTCCAAGGATTCTAGTTGAATAATGTGATAGCAAGAAAAAAAACAACAAAAGAATATTTAATATAAAGTGTCTGATGGTGTAGTAGTGGTTCACTCGCCTGACTTGCTTGCTGGCAGCATGGGATCGGTTCCAACTCAGGGATGAAATAATGTCAAATGCAAACAACGTAATTTGGGCAGCGTAGAAAACGTCTCGCTAATTTGAGGAACCGCAACACTTTGACTCGGTGTGCACAAGCGTGCCAGAACAATGACTGGCAAAAGAAATGGCAAACATTGTACAGGCTACCAATTAAAAAACTAAGGCATAGCACCAGCGGTCAGACGGACGGCTC